GACCGCGGGCGCGCGGCGCGGGCACCTGCGTCCCGCCTAGAGCCAGGTTTGTTGTCCTGGAAATGACTCTAGTGTTTCTTGGTGTTTCCTCCCGGGAGAATCTGTTCCTCCTGCTGCCGCTCATCCCTGCTGGGGGTATGGAGCCACCTTCAGCGGCACAGATTGTGATGGATACCGTAGTTGTCAGGGACGCCAAACTGGCAGGATCCACTCTGCGAAATGGTGGAGTGTTGCACCGTGAAAATAAGTGTGTGTGTGGGGGGAGGGGCGGGGTAGAGAATTGTCTTTCCTGTCTTTAGGTGTGTCTTCCTGTTTTTCTATTTCCTATTCCTTGCTGCCCATTTCCCCAGCCAGTGGAAGAACTGTGATCAATTGATTCACTGCGTCCTGTATTATGCGGACTCGGCTTGATGTCCTCCATAATTCCATAAGATTGTGAGCTCCTAGGGAGCGGAGACCCTGTTGTTGATTTCTCCTAGCGGTGCCACAGTGCAGGACGTGTGCCCGCGCGTAGGATGCTTCAAATCACCATTCCTTTGCTTATCCAGGTTGCCCCTCTAAACTGTCACAGAAAAGCAGACATCCAGGAGAGGTGATGGTTTACAAGTAGGACTGTATCCCTCCTCGTGGGTTTCACTGCGCTTCAGATCTTACAGTGTAGCAGTGGTTCTCAACCTTCTGGCCCTGTAAATACAGTTCCTCGGCGTGTGCCCGCGCGTAGAATGCTTCAACTCACCATTCCTTTGCTTATCCAGGTTGCCCCTCCAAACTGTCACAGAAAAGCATCCAGGAGAGGTGATGGCTTACAAGTAGGACTGTATCCCTCCTCGTGGGTTTCACTGCGCTTCAGATCTTACAGTGTAGCAGTGGTTCTCAACCTTCTGGCCCTGTAAATACAGTTCCTCGTGTTTGAATCTTCTCCTGAGAATTAATTAACCTCAGAGTCTAGAGATTGAAGGAAGGATATTTCTTCTGATGAGAAATGCGAGTGGCATTCACGTACCCTTTACTGGTGTGTACTTGCTGTGTTAGAGAAAGAACACAAGCCAGGTGGAGTGTTACCATTACGTTGTTCGGCAGTCAGCTTCGCCATGTATGTGCATCTTACATGACACACAAAGGTGTGGGAATACTGATCCTCTTCATTCACTTAGTTCGTGCTTCCTGTTTTGGAGTCTCTGATACTTTTCTTGTTGATGAAAGATAAGGTGTCATTGGAGAAGCTTCATTAAATTCTCATTTCCAGAAATTGAATGTATACTCAGCGTATATAGAAATTACATCCATATGCATGGATTCTTTAATTCTAACGGCGAAGAAATGTCTAACCTATCAACTTAGCTTTACCCTCTCATTTCTCTCAGGTTCAGTTCACTTCCTTTTTCCTCTGTCGTCATTCTTTCACACCCCACCACCCTCAGCTAACATAGTGAAACTATCCGCAATTTTAAAAAGAGGAACCATCATATTCAAATTATCTTCTTTTTCAGAATTTTTGACATTGTTAATATAAGTGATAATTTTGAAATATGGAGAGACCATGGACATTTATTTGCTAGTTGACCAAATGAAACATGATTTATTTTAATTAAATAAAATGTGCCCCCTCAAATATTTAACACTAAAGTTTTCCAAAATAAAATTTTTCTAATAAGAAACTGCCTTTTTTTCAATTTTTTACTTTTTAACCTAATGGGGAATCCCTTAAATTTTGTGCTAAGTGTAATCAATAAAATGAGAGAGAATTCTACAGATTTTCATCTCTTTAGTACATTATTTTCTTTCCTGTTGGATAATTAATTTTTAGAAGTTTCTGGCATAAACCCACATGCAGTTTAGTTATGTAATTAAAGAAGCATGTTTGTAAACTTTAAATTATTTTAATGATTATTTTCTGAAGCGAAAATTTAGCATGAGTGAGAGATAAAAAATAATGGCTTTTTAAAGGCATAATTTTTACTACCTCGTGCAAACATAATATTGGCAGCAGTCCCTGTGTTGCACTGGACTGGGAGTCAGGAGCCCTGGTTTCCAGACCTTCCTCTCTCACTAACAGGCTGTGTGATCTTCAGTAAGTCATTTAAAGTCTATGTCCTTGGGTTTGGTTTTTATAAATAAAGATAGATAATATCTTCCTTTTAAGATTATTGTCAAGATTTCAAAAGATATATAAAAATGCACTGAAAATATATACAGACAGGGCTTTTTCAAATAGCTGAACTGTGCAGTCATTGGTATTTTTATAGTGTGACATTCTTACTTGTTTTTACCATTGTCATAGGAATCACCTGTTGATATGATAAATGTGTTTAGAGTATGGTATATATTGTGAGTTAATCATCTAGTGTATATGAAACTGTTTTTGAGTACTAATAAAATCTTTCATTTCATATTCCTACTGTTCATATTTGCTTTAGTGTATCTACAGAAGCCATATTTGTCACTTGTTTTTTATAATTTGTTATTATTTCTCCCAGGTCAGATTTATTAGAAAGCCTTCCCTTTCTCAGTACAGTGTAAAGCACAGACACACTTAGTTTATGCAAATTTAACTATATGTGCTTTAAAAATACTCCTTTGTACAATATGGCTTCAAAATATAAGCTGCCTAATTTGTCTGGTGTTTAATAAAACGGAAACACAGTAATTTGTTTAAAACATGGAGGAGAAACTGGGTGGACATATTTTGAACAGTGTGGTATACAAAAAAACAACACTTTAAACAGTAATGTATTTTTCAAGGGTAATTTTAGCCACACATAATTTTCTTTGCTGATTTTAACATAAGCCTTCTATGAGACACAACCCAAGTATAATTTCAAATAGCAGAATGTTTGGTCTGTTTACTGGGATTTGTTAAATTGCTGTTTCAGTGCTAAATATATTGTGCAGTAGTTACCGTGATAAGATGGGACTTCAGCCTACACTCTAATTTCTCTTGTATAATCTTAACAACAATTGTTCTGATTTTCTATGAGTTGTTACCATTATAGGAGTAGTCACATTACCTTATAAATAATCAGAATTTGTACAATCAAATGAGTGGTTATTTCTCTCACCCCCCAAAAAGCAATCACTTTGGGAAGCTATAAACTTGGTTTAGTAATATTGCCATTGTTTATAAAAAATTCTGAAATTACCTTCAGTTTGCAACACTTTAAAAAGATATCTTTAATGGTACTTAATCTTTATCTTTTGAAATTGGATTTAATTTCTGGAAAGTTCTCACACAGTCTTTTATAACTGAGACCAGTGAATAAAATTTGTATATAAACCACTCTTTGGGATAAAAATGAAGTGAGATTATTTTCATATATTTATATATACATTTGATACTATGGTTTATAGAAAACCTCCAGGAATATTCTGTGCCATAGTAGAAATATTGGAATAATCAGCCTCAAAGGGGTGATTTGAAGGATATAGCACTCAGTTGAATACATAAGCTCTTATACATGAACTAGAGGCCTGGTGCATGAAATTTGTGCACACGAGGGGTGGGGGAGTCCCTCAGCCCGGCCTGTGCCCTCTTGCAGTCCAGGACCACTCAGGGGATGTCCGCCTTCCAGGGGGATCGGGTCTAAGCTGACATCTCTCTTGCAGTCCGGGGCTCTCGCAGTTTGAGACCCCTCACTCCTTACCACTCATCTGCGGTAGAGGTGAGAGAGGCCCCTGCCACCGCCACTGCACTCACCAACATTGACCACCAGGGGGCAGCTCCTGCATTGAGTGTCTGCCCCCTGGTGGTCAGTGCACATCATAGCGACTGGTCGTTCTGCCGGTTGGTCTATTTGAATATTAGGGTTTTATTATATAGGACTAGAGGCCCAGGGCACGAATTTCTACATGGGTGGGGTCCGGCCTGACTGCCCCGATTGGGGCCAATTTGGCCGGCCGGGGGAGGGGCTGCCGGAGGTTGCCTGGCTAGGGGGAGGGGCCACTGGCGGTTGGCCAGCTGGCCCTGCCCCCTGGTCGAACTCCTGATCCAGGGGACAATTTGCATATTGGCCATTTATCTTATAAGAGGATTATGAGGTCAGTCTTATTACATTGTGATATTTCTAGTTTCCTTAGCAACCACAGAAGTATATATGTGCTACTGTGTTATTGTTTTTCTAGTTATCTTGTCTCTAAGTGTTCCTTTACTATATGCTTGTGATAATTTTGATGGAGTTCATCCTTTTCTGAATTGGAAACTTACAGCATTTGTTTTCCTTTCCCAATATCATGCTCTGCTTTACCATGAAACTTCTTTTTATCTGGTTATGTTATTGGATTGTTAATAAGTTTTCTGTTGTATTATATTGTATCTTTAACTTTGAGTGGTTTAAAGCCATTGCCATTTTGTAAATTATATAAAGGTTGCAATCTTAGTGGATAGTTGTCTCTCAGCTTTGCACCACTGTCTTTTTTATGTCAATTATGACTTTATAACTTGCTTTACATAAATTGATTTATCCTTTATGTTATAATTCATGTCATATCTCTGTTCAGAATTTTTCTTTGCTTACAGGATGAACCATTCTGATAATCTCATCCTACTTCTCTATACTTGTGTTATGTTTCCAGCATAAAACCTTTTATCACACCTTTTAGGTCACATTATTATTTAATAAACTTATTATGTTCTTTCTCAATGACAAAGTTTTGACCTTACCATTTTTATCTGCCCGAAATCACTTATTTCTTTCATTCTTTTTGTTCAAATATAACCAATTTGTTGGAAGTCTATCAGATCATATCTGTTCAATAAAACCTTTAGTGAAGCACATGCTATTCTGATCTTTCTGAACTTTACACTTTTATTGGTTATTTTTATCATTTACTTGGTACTAAATGAATACTACCTTGCATTTTTCTTACTATATGTTTATATGTTTTATTTCTATAAATGGATAATAATCTTCTGAAGAACAGTACCATGATTTTTCTATGTATCTCTTTTAGCAAAACATATAGCATAATTCAGAAGAGATGTTCATATAATGATTTCATAGATGTTCAATAAATTATTTGTATTTTTAAAAAAATATCTTTATTGATATTGATTGAGGAAGGGAGAGGGAGAGAGAGAGAGAAACATCAATGTGGAGAGAGAATTATTGATCAGCCGCCTCCTGCACAATTGGGGATCAAACCTACAACCCAAGCATATGCCCTGACAGGGAATCGAACCTTGACCTCCTAGTTCATAGGTCTGCGCTCAACCACCAAACCAACATAGCTGGGCCCAATAAATTATTTGCTGAATAACTATCCTGCCATCTTCACTCAAGTAGTTCATGTGATGTTACCTTTGTGAACCATTTTATAATACCAAATAAATATAGTTTGTACCATAAATGCATTCATTGTTGTAATCTGGTTATCATTATTATATTCCTAATAACTTTATTTTGTAGAAGCTTAAGTGAAAATGGTACGTGAAACAAGGAGGAATTCTAAAATTCAAGAGCGTGAGCAGAAATCTCGAATTGATTGGAAGCGGACTAAAAGAAGTATCTCACAGTTATTGGATAGTGATGAAGACCTTGAGAGTGAAGACCTTGAGAGTGATGAAGAGCGTGATAGTGATGAAAGTATTGACAGTGATGAAGAGCTTGCTAGTAACAAAGGGCTTCAAAGTAATAAAAAGCCAGAAGATGAAAGTGAGCTTAAGTTAGTTAAAGTTGAAAGTGAAGGCAACAACTGTGAGCATCTCATTGACACTGGCAACAGTTCAACAAATGAAGGAGAAAATAACAAAGGCAATCAGAGTAGTATTGATTTACCAGACCAGGAAAAGCATTCAAGTCCAGAGGATGCTGATCTCAGCAAGCACACTGAGCAAATAATAGAGGAGGATTTAGAAGAAGAAAACGTAAAGCGAGGGAAGAGAAGAAGAACCTTGGTGATGAGTGACAGTGATGAGAGTGGTGACAGCGACGTACTGGTGAGGAAAGTAGGTGTTAAACGTCCGCGTCGAGTGGTTGAAGATGAATGTTCTTCAGCGGAGATGGAGCAGAATCAACCTGAGAAAACTTCCACTGCAAGAAAGCAAGAAATACTCCAGAAGCTGAAAGAACTCTCAAAACAAAGATCTCATCAGAGACGTAATAGTAGTAGAGATCTTGAGGTGTGTTTTATTTTATTGGTTTTGTTGCTGTTTTTAAATTTTTACTTAAAAGTATTTACTGTTTATAAAAATGAAAGGGCTGAGTCTGTTCTATTTCTCTATAATTCTAGAATTTATTTTTAATAAAGTATCCATGAACATCTTTCTTGTAATATTGGAAGACTTTGTTTTGTATGGTATTTCCTGTTTTTATCTTCTTATAATCTTAATGTCTATTTTAAACATATAATTTTCAAATTTAAACATTTAACATAATTTTTTACCTTAAAATATGAAATTAATTTCTATGCATCATTTGTTTGGGTTTGGGATTTAATCTTTTAATATCATATCCATATAATTTACTGAAGAAATATGTTTTAATTTAATTAGGACTCTGAAAGGGAATCCTGCCCAATCAGTGATGAAAATGATGAAGATGAGGAGGAGAGTGATGAAGATGAGGAGGAGGAGGTTGATGAATCTGATGAAGATGGAGATAATTACATTATTGATGACTTTGTAGTACCAGATGAGGAGGGTGATGAAGAGAATGAAAGCCAGCGAGGAGAACAATTGGCTACATCACAACTGAAATCTAATTCACTTTGTAAGTTAAATCTCAAGAAAATGTTTTATGGTTATTCTAATCATGATATTATATCAGGTATGAAATCAGCCTGTTACTGTCATGTTGTAAATTGATTAGGAACTGTGACTTCATTTTCTGAACTTTAATTTGTTTGATAATAGTTTATCCTAGTGGTTTCAGGAACCGTTTATACTCTTAAAAATTATTGAGGATCCCAAAGAGCTTTTGTTTTTGTGGGTTATAACTATCAGCATTTACTATTGTAGAAATACAAAACGGAAGTTCAAAACATATTTACTTATTAGTTCACTTAAAAATAACATTAATAAACTTATTAAACGTAAACAACATTTTTTATGAAAAATAACTGTTTTTCTCCCAAAATGAGAATGACATTGTTTTACTTTTAAAAAAAATCCTCACCCACATCTCCTTACAATGGACCATGACACTTCCGGTCCAAGAAACACAGGGGCAGAGAGCTGTGTTGGCCTTTAATCTACTGCCTCCCACTTCCTGGGGTATGTTTCATCCACAAACATTCCTTAGTCTTGGGAGCTGAGATCCACAGAGGAATAAAGGCATGGTCCCCACTTTTGAGGAACTCAGACTCTACTGGAATTGACGAGCACACAAGTAATCAGTACTTCAAAATGAGCAGGTGTTACAAAAAATGAGATGAGTGTTGTCTTAGTGTGGTAAAACTTAGACTGGGGGGGCTTATAACAACGGGAAGTTATTTCTCATACATCTGGGATCATGGTGCCAGAATGATCGGGTGAGGGCCATCTTTCGGGGTGCAGACTTCTCATTATTTCCTCACATGGTGGAGAGGCAAGGAAGTTTTCTTGGGCATTGTTTATAAAGGCATTAATCTCATTCATTAGAGTTCTGCCTTCATGGCCTAATCGCCTCCCAAAGGCCCCACCTCCTAACACTATCACATGGGGCATGAGGATCATCATTTGAATTTGCAGGGGACACAGACATTCTGACACAGCGAGGGGACGTTTGTGCTAGAACATGAAGAACAAATAGGTATGTCCCTGATGATTTCAAGGAAAGACAATTCAGATGAGGTGAATATGTACGAACATGTAACATTGTGAAAGGTCACAGTATTTACCAGTTACATGGAAAAGGTCCACTGGGCTGCAACAGGGGACCTGGTGGGGGGTAGGCACAGAGTGGTCCACCAGGTATTGGGGTTCAGACTGTGAAGGCCTGGGGTCTCCTGCTAAGGAGATGGGAACCTGTGAGTGACTCTCAGGCAAGGATGAGCCAACAACAACAACAACAAAAAATTAAATATGCAAGTTCTTGATTCGAAACAGCAATTCTTTGTTAATATATTTTTATTGATTTCATAGAGGGAAAGAGAGAGAGAAACATCAGTGATGAAAAGAATCATTGATTGGCTGCCTCCTGCATGCCCCACACTGGGGATCAAGCCTGCAATCTAGGCATGTGCCCTGACCGACCAGGAATCAAACCTCAAATTGTGACTTCCTGGTTCATAGATCAATGCTCAACCACTGAGCCTCGCTGGCTGGGCAGGATATGTTTATTGATTTGAGAGAAAGAGAAACTTCCATTGGCTGCTCCCCCCTCTCCCATCCACCATATGCCCTGACTGCAACCCATGCATGTGCCCAACGGAGCATCAAACCTGCAATCTTTTTGGTGTACGGAATGATGCTCCAACCAACTGAACCCCCGGCTGTAGCAATGTTTTACATTTTAAGAAATATATTTCATGACCAGCTTAATAGGAGGCAAGGCAGTTGGGGTCTTATATCTGGTTTTGCATTCAGTCTGTTGTGATGTATTTTGTTGAAATAGATGAAGACAATCTTGCTTCACACAAATAGCTGGAAAAGGGAGGAGTTTTTTCAAAGTAATTGTGTATATTCTCATTGGACACAACATAAAATGTAGATAAGTCATAGCATCTTAAAGAATAGTTGTAATATGAAATCTGAAATCATATAAGTGAAATTTTAGTATGTATTTACATTACAATGTATTGGTCCATCTTGCACTTTGAATCAATCTTTTTTTACCCATGCATGATTTTGTAACATCATGCATTGGTCATCTGGAAAATATTGGTTCACTAGGTTTTACAAATCTTCTAAATATTGATACATTTCATGATACAGTGTTTTTAATATTTGGTATCACCACCAGTCTTATCAGAAAATTCTTTAGGTTGGGAAAGCTGTCAAGTTCATAGTAACAGATAAAATTTTTTCAAAATTCTACTTTCTACTTAAAAGTTTATTTTTTTTTTGTCTTTGGCAACAAAAACGTGAGTTCTTTGTTCTTTTTTGAGAAAGTATTTGACAAATGCCAGCATAACCATAGTTTGTCAGTCTTTCTTTCAAGTAAACATGGTGCATTGTGACAGTTGTGGCTTTTTAAGCTCCCAACTCAGTTTTTCTCAAAGTATGATTGATTGTACTTTGATATGCAACACAACTACTTTATGCATACATCCCATTTCATCACATTAAATGCTCAAAAGATGGTACTCAAGACTTAATAAAATTAATAATGTTTTACTACTTTGTCAGGGACATTCTTAAGTGAAAGTAGCTTGGTTACTGAGTGCATAGCAGTGATCACTAGTAGTTTGGTGCTGCCTCCATGCTAGGGGGCCAGTTGCCTTACCCATAGTTACTTTTGCACCATCATTCAAAATCTCAACAAGTAAAAATAACACGTGATTATCTTAGTGTTACTGCTTTGACCTCACAGATCACAAATGGACTTGGGGATATACAGGGGTCTACAGGACTTGAAGCATCGCTCAGTGAAACCTGTCAGCAATAGGAAAGTAGAAGCTTTCATATTATCATATAGTTAATGAAAATATAAATAATAGGACCCTGAACGTTTAGGGTATCTTTAAGTATGTATTATTCTGATCCCTATAATTATATATGTGAATTCAAACAGGCTGTTGGAGGTACACTTTTTTCTTAATTTTTTTATAAGGGAAAAAACTAAGTGTATTATAATTCAATTTAATCACTTGATTTGTAATGAAATAGGTTGAGCTGTACATCAAATTTAAAGAACTTTAGCAGTTACAGAAATGTCAGTGATAGGCATTTATGTATTGAAAGTGAATGACTATTGTACTTAGATCAATAAGCATTGGTTCACTTACCACCTCAATATTTGAACATCAGGGAAATTCAATTAGAGGGTATCCCATCATTCTGGATTATAATATCTAAAATGTGATAGAACATTTGCTGAGAGATACCCACTCATACCCACACCTAATTAATGAAAATAAAAGTCCAGCATGTAGAACTATTTTAACTTCCTTCTCTATTCTACACCTTTGTGCTTGCTTGTTATTAACCTCTTGCATTGGTACATCTGGTATGATGAGCCAATATTGATGCAGTATTATGAACTGTAGTTCATAGTTTACCTCAGGGCTCACTGTTTGTGTTGTACATCCTATGGATTGTTTGGTATTTTTAAAAATGTATTGTTCAATTACAGTTGATATACAGTATTACATTAGTTTCAAGTGTACAATGTAATGATTAGACATTTTTATAACTTATGAAGTGGTCACCACAGTAAGTCTGGTACCCACCTGGCACCATATACATAGTTACTACATTATTATTGACTATTTTTCCTATGTTATACTTTACATCCCTGTAATTATTTTGTAACTGAAAATTTGTACTTCTTAATCCCTTTCACCTTTTTCTCTCATCTCTATACCCCCTTCCATCTGGCAACCATCAGTTTGTTCTCTGTTATCTGTGAGTTTGTTTCTTTTGTTTGTTCATTTATGTATTTAGATTCCATATATAAGTGAAATCATACATATTAGTTTTTCTGTGTCTGACTTACTTCACTTAGCATAATACCCTCTCGGTTCTTCCATCTTGTCACAAATGACAACATTTCATTCCTTTTATATGGCTGAGTAGTACATTCTGTGGATTTTGACAAATGTATAGTGACATTACAGATATGCATGATTACAGTATCATACAGAATACTTTCACTATCCTAAAAATCCTTTGTGTTCCGCCTATTTACCCTTTCCTCACTACTATGAGCCCCTGACAACCACTAATCTTTTTACATAGTTTTATTTTTGCCAGAATGTTTTATAGTTGGAATCACACAGCATGTAGCCTTTCAGATGGGCTGCTTTCACTTAATAATATGCATTAAAGTTTCCTCCATGTCTCAATGTGGCATGATAGCACATTTCACTGAATAATTCCATTGTATGGATGTACCACAGTTTGTTTATCCATTCACCTGTTGACGGGCACATTGTTTCCAAGTGTTGGCAATTGTGAATAAAGCTGCTATAAACATCCATGTGTAGATATTCCTATGGACATACATTTTCAACTCATTTACTAGGTAAATACCAAGGAGCTCTGAGCTCGCTTTTACTACTGAGCATCTCTACATCAGAGGGGGATGTGATCCATTTTTTATGCAGTACATTTTATCTTGTGTGTTCTTAACTGCAATTGCTTCTTCTGGCTCTATCCTTATAAGCTGTCTTTCCTTAACTTGTAACCATACCCAATGCCTTTTCTCACTTGAGTTGGCATGTCCCATTAGCCACTATTCTAAATATTTTTGTTCAAGTTTCCTGTAACTCTACAAAGCATTGTACTCAGGCTCTTGCACCCATTAATCCAGTGCAATTGCTCTCACTAAAGTTAGTGATAATTTCCTAGTTGCCAGAATGCTCTTCAATTCGTCTATATTAACCTGGTATTGCTATGTGATTTATCACCAACCAAACTAGGAAATTCGTCTGTATTAACCTGGTATTGCTATGTGATTTATCACCAACCATTGATGACTCACACTTTCAGAAAGTTCTCTAGTTACCTTCTGTGCTAGCACTCTTTCTGGCCTTTGTCTTTTTAATATTGCTTTCCTCTTTTCCCATTTCTCATGTAAGTATTGATGTTTCTAAAGGTTCCACCCTCAAACTACCTTCATTTCACTTA